GTGCTCTAAGGAGCGACCTTGGGAAGTAGTAGTAGTCTCCTTAAAGGGTGTGGGGATAGTTATTGTTTCCAGGAAAAGTGGTTGGGTTAGAAAAATAAGGTTTCAAGTGCAATAAATTCAGTAGGAAAGGAAGGGCAGAAATAAACTGAAATAACTGTGATCGAGTGGCGGTAAAAAGTACGGATAACTATGCAAGGTATAGTGGTTGTGAAGGAGGTATGACATATGGTATTTTATGATGGATAACTATAGAGAAGGCAGATAGAGTGAGGGAATTATACAATATGGTAATTAGGCATTGGTACTGGAGGATGTGTGAGGAATTTTTCTTGGAGGTAGACAATGGATGGGTTATAAGATAAGAGGTGGCGAAGGCCAGGTCTGTGGGAATGGAAACCTTGAATGTTCTACTGTAGAAGAGTCATTGTGGATAAATCAACATCTGAGAGGTAAGAGGAGGAGCATCTGGGGATTGAGGTAGAGTATCAGAGGAAGGAGGTGAAGGCGTTGTATCATGAGGTTCATCAGGGAGGATGGAATCTTGTGACAAAAGGGATTCACATGTGTATCCAGGAATGAATGGTAGAGATAATAAGAAAGGTTTTGATGCAGGTGGAGGAGAGGATAGGGTATGTTAGGATGGAGTAGGAGGAAGAGGGGTAGGGGGAATATGAGGATGAGAAGAATGAATATTAGCAGTCACTTTGAATGTAGCTTAGGAAATTTCTAATGTCCTCGAGGGTTTCTGGAGGGAATTTGTATGGGGAGGTTTGGAAAAAAGTATTTTTATGAGGAGGTGAAGAGAAAATAGGCATCTGTGGGATTGTGGATGTAGGTGTGAGATGGAATGTGGTAAGAGAAGTTGGAGTGGAAGGTTTGGATTGTCTGGTGCGATAAGTAAGACAAGGAGTAGGGAGAGACATAGGGTCAGTTGTGGATACTGGACAAAAGGATTTGACTGGGAGATAGCATGCTTCTTGTCTGTTTGTTTTTATCTGAGAACTGCTACCTCAGATTCAAACTTGTAAGCAGGGCATCCCCTATAAAATACATTACAGGAGCCACTGCAATTGGCACATGTACATGATTGTGCTGGTCAGTTTGAACTGTCATGACCAGGTTAGACACACAAAGGGCAGAGGGCTGTGGAGTGACAGTGTTTTGCAGGGTGGCCGAAGCACCAACATTGACGAGGTGGTGGTTCATATGGTTTGACAGGGCAAGATTCTTCTATATAGAATTTATGGGAAAGGTCATGTTTATGAAAGGTAATCTTGGCAATATTGATGTTGGATTTACAGTGGCTTTTGGGGGGAATAGTGTTGCATTGTACTGATATTGGATCATAGTCAGCAGGGCAGACAAATAGGTCTTCTTCACAGTCTGACTAATCTTTGTCATATACTGGGCAATCAGCCAGGGTGATGGCAACAGCTCCAGTACATGTATTAAGGGGGGAGTGGGGATTGACAGGAATAGGTTTGCCAGTGAAGTCTAACAGGGTAGATAGTGCATGGGCTTGAGACTTATGTAACTGTGACAAGATGTGAGCAATCGGGGCGACTGTGAAAGGAAACTTTGCCTACTTGTTTTTGGACACATTGTTGAAAGAGGGAGGTATAACAGAATAAGGGGCTGTTGGGGGAATCACAAAGAATCGGTCCCACTTAGCTGGGCTAAATAGAGTACTTGAAAGATTTGAAGGAGAATTGTAGAGGGGCGAGGACAGGAGAAGGAGGTAATAAGGTAAGAGGAGGTAGAAAATGATGGCTGTGCAGGAGGTGGGTTGGAGGATATTGGTAGTGAAGCAGTATTTTTTAAAGATTGAGTTATACCCTGGGCAGAAGATTTGGGCTGAGTTAAGTTGACAGCATATGTTGAGGAGGGGGGTGCTCCCACTGCTGTAGCAAAAATAAATAAATAAAAACTTTTGAGGGATATTTTTAAGAGTAAAAATCATACAGTAGACAATAAGTCATCTTTATATTACTCCCTGTTGCATATACACAGGTATTTTCACTGTCTCATATGGTGTGAAATTACAAGAATCTTAATCAATGTCATCATAACTTGTTCGAGCTTTCTTAGCTTCTGGGCCTTCCAATTCCTCGCTCATATTCTCCAAGTCTTCCATGGAGAGGACTGATCTGGGATGCGGGACTACAATGTTGCTGGCAATATCAATAACCCTGAAATACCAAAAAAGCTGTTATTTTTTTGTATATGATATTCATTCTTCATGCAAACTGTTAAGTACTAAAACAATCTTTTTCATCGTTATGTTTATAATTTACTAATATGAAGCTATCTAGAATTTCATCCACTCATAGAATAAATGTTAGTGTACAGAACAGAAGTCTTCACAATGTAGTTCTTTAGTCTTGGTACATAAATGTCTGGCATTTATGGGACCTGTAAAAAACAGCAGTAAAAACAGAAGTAATATGTATAATATCTGAAGTGATGATCTTGACACCCACATATTTTTAACATAATGCAA